TTAACTTTAGCCCTGCTGCAGGTAAGCAGCAGGGCTCACCTGTCAGGTGGAAGCATTCGGAAAGCAGTGCTACTGCCCAATTGCTTCCACACAGCCCACAGTGCCATACACCGCTCCCCCCTGCCCGCTATATGTCCCGGGCTCCGCTTGCCCATCTGTGGTCCTGGGACTGGTTCAGTGGGTTCCGGCAGTATGCCGGTATATGAGGGAGGAGAGCGGACACATCAAGAATGTAAACAAAAATCAAGTTACACCCAAGCATATAACCCCCCTAAATTTTTCAAGGCTCCCCATCCCCACATATACGCACAAATGTAAAAGTATGCGCTGGGTCGCCTACACATGAAAACAACGATTGCGATACACGTTACATATTTCCACGCATGCCAGAATGAGAGCAATAATTCTAGCACCAGACTTCCTCCGTAACACTAAACAGATGATCTATAAGAGGCTTTAACCACTTCCAGACCGGACACTTTTACCCCCTTCCTGACCAGGGCAATTTTCAGCTTTTAGCGCTATCACACTTTGAATGACAATTGCGCGGTCATGCAACACTGTACCCAAATGAATTTTTTACCATTTTTTTTAGATAGATAAAGCTTTATTTTGGTGGTATTTATTCACCACTGGGATTTGTATTTTTTTTGCTATGTAAATGAAATGTCCAAAAAATTTTTAAAAAAGTGTTTTTTTAATAAAATTTTGCAAATAAATAATATTTCATCATAAATCTTAGCCAAAATTTATTCCGTTATCTTTTTATCCAAATTAGTTTATAAGCAAAAATTATAATTTTTAAACATTTTTTTTACATTTTTATTTTATTTTTTTATATTATTTTTTATTTATTTTTTTTACATACTGTCACCCTAGCAGTACAGTGTCACCATGGTGACACTGTACTACTTGTGAAGGGTGATAAAGATTTTTTTTTTTTTTTTTTTTACACCGATTGCTTTTACACCCATATAGGATGTAAAAGCAATCATTTCTCTTTCTCTCTGTGTGCATTCCTGCACTCATTGAGAAATACAGCGTGAGCTGTGATTGGTCACAGCTTGTCACATGGTACAAGGCTTTTGTGAATAGCCTTGTACCATGTGACCTCTGTGATCATTCACAGATTTCACACATAGTAAGCAATGATGTCAGAAGTGACATCTTGCTTACTACTTTGCATGTGATCACTGATTGGCCAATCAGTGATCACAAGATCGGGACCTCGTACAGAGGTCCCGTCCGACGATCGGTGTTTCACTGTGTCCGGAGGACACAGCGGGCACCGGATTGCGGTGCTGCGTGCTCCCAGGGAGCGCGCACAAGCAGGGTGCGGGAGGCCGTTTATAGACGGCCACCCGACCCTGCAGTGCCACCGTCTGGCCGTTTTATATACAACGGCCGGTCGGGAAGTGGTTAAAAGCATCACCTATAGAAAATATAGGGTACTAAAGTTTGTTGCCGTTTCACGAGCGCATGCAAATTTAAGGTTTGACATGATGGATATCTATTTTCTTGATGCAACCTCGTCTTTTTATATTTCACAAAAAAAAAATAGGATAATTTATTGCTTTTGGTGCCCTAAAATTAACTTGTGTATTTTTTACGTGTGACATAAAAAAATTGGAACTACCGCTATTTTATTCTCTAGGGTCTCTGATTTCAGAAAATATATAATGTTTTGATTTCTTTTAAATGTGTGCAAAAAACACAAAAAACAGCTCTGGTAGCAAAAGGATGGATAAGCTAGACAATCCCCTTTCCTGACGAGCACCCAATCAGTGCTCATTACACTGCAAGGTCTCCCCCCCTACCTGCTGGTCCCCGGGTGCGGTGCTGGAGACAGACAGGGAGGGGAGGAGGAGATATACAGCGCAATGTTAAAAACATTAAACGTTTAAGTTGCTATAAAGCCCCTTTGTTTTTAACAGCCCCAGACATTAAAGCAAATTTAAATACGGTTTTGGTACAAAAAAAAAAAAAAAAAAAGTGTTTTTATCAGGACAAATAGATTGGGACACCGATTTATCCCCTGGACAAGTAGTGTTTCAAAAGTTTCCACACCCCTGTATGATTTCACTGTAGTAGCACCACTACAGTGATTTCCAGCTTCCCCAGTAGTATAACAGTATGCCAAGCTTATCCAATGCAAATACGCAATACAGATCATTCCGAATTCAGCTTTAAAGCCCAACTATCAGAGAACAGTAAAGTACTCTTCCACCCACTCTGAATCCAAGTTTTCATTTATCTTATGGCCGTTCACACTGTGCCTGCACAGTAACATGCTGTGCGTTCCTGTCCAATTCAGAACGCATGCAAACCACGCTCCGTTTGCGATCTGCAGTGGGTGTAAATAGAACTCTAACGACACCTGAAAAGCAGGTCACAAACGCAGTGCACTTGCCCACACACCGGATCGCATGGTAGCTGCAGTGAACTTTTAAAAAGTAGCGCATACACTACTTTTGGTGCTGTGTGATTTTAGCCCAATCAAAACTGAATGGGCTGAAATCGCACCACGCAAAACCGCATGTGAACTGAACAGGCACACACAATGCATTCCCATGCGATTCATTTGCAGGCATGGTTTGAACCGGCCCTTAAAACAGTACAAAACCCATTAATGTAAGTTCCAAAAAAACAGTTACATTCCCGACACGTGCCAGGAATGCTGTCACGTTTGCTTGTACTCGCAACCATCAAATGGCTGGAGTCCTAACTGATCACATGTACAGCATCATGGCATTTGAAGATCAGAGGCTCAGATGGCAGTATACTTGGCTGAAAAGGATAGGAAAGTTTAGCTCCACTTTAAGCCACGAACACATGATCATCCAGTGCTAGGTCCTGCTCCCCTCTGTCTACTTCCTGGATGAGTCCTCTTCAGGGTGTCCAAGTAACTGCCTGTGTGATGTGGTCTATTCCCATTTACTGGCTAGTAGAGGGGTCCTCTCAGGATCCAGAAGAGGACTGACAGAGCGAGGGAAGTGAAGAGGCCAGCAAAAGTTAAAGTGGTTCTAAAGTGTAAACATCTTTTTAACTTAATGCATTCCCCACCCCCAAACACTTACGTCTCCTCTGTTCATCCCAGTGCTGTCCAGGCTGCAGGTCTTCTCACTCCACTTCCTGACCTCACAGGAGACTCAGCCAGCAGCAGGAAGCCATGGTGCCTACTGCTGTCGGTCAAATCCTGCAAGGAGGGAGCACAGAGCATGGCAGAGCTGCGTTGCGTATATCTATGGATGCACAGAGCCTGGCTCAGAAGCACATCTGTACAGGCACCACTGTAGCACACATCCTGCTATGGGGGGCACCCGCAGGAAGATGCAGACAGTGCCAGTGGGGGACTGCTAAAGGATAGGTAAGGGACAACTCTGTGCAATATTGTTGCAAAAAGCAGGTAGAGTATAGAACTTAACAAAAAAATTACAAAATTACCCTTTACAGTCACATTAAAGCAGAATTATAGCCAGGCCATTTGTGAGCACAAGCAACTGTGACAGTTATAAATGGCATACCTTAAAGTGGAATTAAATGTTTATATATAGATAGAACAGACAGGTTTTTTATCGCAGAAGAGTCATGAAAGGTCTCGTCAGCAATAATACACTTATTTCTAATCCTATCAAGAATGTACATGGGCTGGGCATACGCGGCTCCATTTACATTTCTGGCACAGTGCCAGTGTACCAGGATGAATGACTCCTGTGCGCCATCATCCTGCATTAGCCAATCATGACGGACACCTGGAAGAAAATGCTGGTGAGGGATCTCCTGGGTGTCACACCACTGGAGAATAGGGGAATAGTTGACTTTAGTTCCCATTTAAAATGTAACTGTTTTGGAAAACAATTAGATAAATGGGTTGAGTTCCACTTTAATGTGGCTGTAAACCTTTCTATATATACGCAATGAAGGGACTGGACTCAGGTGATACACAGAGATGACACAAATCCTCCTACATAAGGTGTGCCATTTATCTGCAGTCTTCTCTACATCAGTTCAAAGTCCAGAATTTATAATGCTTGTCTGAGAGTTCAGAAAACAGGGCACAGAGAGCTGAAATTACACACGGCAGAGCTCAGTGAGGAGAGCTCTGAGGAGCTGATTGGAGGGAAAGGACACCCCCCTCCCCACAGCTCACAGGAAGAGAGCTGAGGCTGTCAATCTGCTGGAGGTCCCTCCCGTCACCAATTTTCTCCTGGTGTCAGGAGAACTTGTCAGACGTGATTCATGCAGATAGCAGAGGAACCAGGCAGCAGAGAGAAATGACACTTTGTGATCTGGATAGAGACAAGTACACACTATAGAGGGATATGTTTTGGTCATATTTCATGTCTGAGCCACGACCACTTTAAACACTTCACAAAAGTTATATTAGAGACACGCCGTGAATCATATTGATCACAATTGTTTGAGCTTTCAACCGATCCGCCAAGTCTCAAGTCATAATCAAAAGCAAGACAACATAGCAACAGGTAAAACAGAGGCCAAGATGGCAGCTTCCTTGGTTGTGAAGGAGAGGAGGGTTTAGTTCCACTTTAAAACGCACCGCTGGACTGTGCGACCCCCACTGATAGGGATGGCATCAGGGAGGACCCTGTGGGGGTATAAATGACTTCACCAGGTAAAGAGAAAGAAAGGCTGGGAGAAAAATAGATTCTGCCCAGAGTTGGGCTTTACTAATCATCCAGTGACCCACGGAGAGACAGCTGTGCAGCACGTTGTCACCCTCCTGTTCAAACATGTCCAGTAGCAGGGACTAATGTCTGCTGTACTGTACACAGCTGCTCGGTGCCATAACACGTCTCCACCAATCACACCTCGAGCCCCCAGCCGGCTCGTCCTCCCCTCTCTCCGCGGTGCGGCGAGACACGCGGAGTACAGAGAGGAGCCGGGAAGAGGCAGGAGAAGGAAGCAGCCGGCAGGCCAGAACTGTCCCACCGCCTGACACACAGCCGAGTCCGGCCCCCAGGGGAAGGATAGGAGCCCACCTCGATGATCTTCTCCTTCTTCTTCTGCTCCGTCTTCTTCGTAGCCTGCGGCGCCTGAGGCTTTTTAGGTGGCATTGCGATAGAAGAAGCGCCGTTCCCCCTCCACTACCAGCGCACGAGGCCTCGATTTACGGCTACAGCAGCAGTGATGTCACCATTCATAGACCCCGCGAGAGTGCCGGCAGCGGCAGGTGTGATTCCGGACTACATTTCCCAGGATGCCGCTCGGCTGAGGAGAGGAAGACTAGTACATGGAGGGAAAGAAACTGAGTAGGTTGTAGAATGAGAGGGGTCGGCTTGGAGCTGAGCCAAGTGCAGACTTATGAGGCATCACGACGTGAACAGTTCTTTTTATTCACCATCAGATGGAAATTGTCGGCAGTGCTAGGACTTGCAGGGACAGTACATAGAGATTAACAGGATTTGTAATCAGTTAAAGTAGAACTATAGGCAAAACTTGTTTATAAACGTATAGAGTAAGGGAGGGTTATAACCCATAAGGACCCATTCAGACTGGGATGAATGAAATGAACCTCCTGTCTGTTCCATCCAACGATCATCAATCTGCTGGACGGATGGGGAAAGGATCACCATTCGTCTGTTTTAGTGTACCGCAGGGGTCTCCAAACTTTTCAACGGGCTGGTTTACTGTCCGTCAGACTTTAGGAGGGCCGGATTGTGACCAGTGGGGGCAGAGAATGTCCCGGGCCCAGCATCAGTGAAAATAAACATGGGGGACTATTCCTCCCATTAACCGTTTCCGCACTGCCCTAGAACAGAAATATATACGTAATTCGCTCTCCCACAGTTTTTGCAGGCCCAATGCCGACCCGTGGGTGCCGTGATTTGATCCCTAAGGGATCAATCATCCGATTTAGACCAGTGATGGTCGGCCTAAGTCGGATGATCGATTCCCTGTCCTATCAGGGATCTTCCTATACCTGTAATTACAGTTACACAGATACAAGAATTGATGACATCTTTTTCTGGGCAAATTTCATCCCAGTGAGAGAAGAATCGACACAGTGAGTAAAAGCAGCACACTTTTCACAAAACACTTTAGGATACATTTAACCCCTTGATCCCTCCCCCCCCCCTTTTACCCCTCCACTACCCTGTCACCAGTGTCATTAGTACATTAATACAGTGTACAGATTTTTTGCTGATTACTGTATTAGTGTCCCCAGCAACTTGAGATAGCATTAGCGCCCCTCCGAGATAGCCTGTCAGTACACCAATAATCACATTTAACCCCTTGATTGCCAGGAACACGCACACATATACAATAAACCTCCATTGCTAGTATAGTGTCTGAATATCTTTGATCAGATCAGCACTATTCCAGCGTTCACATTAGCATAGTGTCCCCAAAAACACAACGTTAGTGGGATCAGCCCCAGCACCTGCGTTTAGCCCTAAGCTTCCATCCCCCACAGTTATTACCTTTTGTACCACTAGCCCCTCCCTCTTAGATAGTAAACTCCAAGGAGCAGGGCCCTCAAATCCCTCTTGTATTGAACTGTATTGTTGCTGTATTGTCTCCTGTTATATTGTAAAGCGCTGAGCAAACTGTTGGCGCTATATAAATCCTGTGTAATAATAATAATACCTCCCCTTCTCCCGCAGCAAGTGCAGTGTCAGTAGATCACTGTCACTTTTTACATTTCACACAAAACCACAGTGTTTGCAGAATCAGGCCTGATCTCTTAGCACTTGCCGATAAATTTTTTTGTCGGGGTTCAAGCAGTCCCTGACAGCCAGGTGCTTTTTTTCCCGTGAGTTGCACTAGATCTCTATAAATTTAGTGGCCAAAATGTCAATGGAAAGGTACACTAGTGAAGAGGACTATAGGATTCTGAGCATGTCAGGTGAGAGCAAAGGGGAAGACTCCCTGACACGATCAGCCTCAGAATACGAACCTGTATAAAGCATTTGATTCGCTTTCTTGGGAGTATTTGACATATATGCTGTCTAGATGGGGGTTTGGTGACGCATTTCTGGCTTGGATCTCAGCTTTATATTTGTCTCCCTCGGCCTCTGTTAAATATGCAGGTTTTTTTTCTTCATCCTTCCCTATTTTCAGGGGCACGAGACAGGGATGCCCATTATCACCTGCTCTTTTTGTTCTCGCTCTTGAACCTCTAGCTACAGCCATTTGAAATCACCCGGATATTTCTGGTGTCCCCTAGGCCAGCACTCAATACAAGGCCAACTTTTATGCGGATGATGCCCTTTTGGTTTTAACCAATCCTCTCATCACTCTCCCCAACCTCCAGGTCATATTGGACTATATCTGGCCTTCGCATCAATTTGTCTAGAACCACAGCATTGAATATTACGCTCCCTGCCGACCTGGTTGAACGGTTGCAGAAACAATTTCCCTACCGTTGGGCATCCCATTCTATGGCTTATCTTGGCGTTACACTTACATCCTCCTACTCTGCCTTATTTTTGGCTAATTATTACCCCTTATTGCGCTCTTTTACTTTCCTGCTTCATTCTTGGCAGTTTCCTTCTTTATCATGGATTGGGCGGATACATGCTGTCAAGATGACTATCTTGCCAAAGATCCTGTACTTTTTCCGCACTCTCCCTATTCAGGTCCCTGCGTCTTTTCTTTGTGTGCTGCAAAGCCGGATTCTCCATTTTCTTTGGGCTCATAAACATCCTAGAGTTCCTAGAGCCACTCTGTATACTCAGATTACAGGGATGTTTCTAGATACTAGTTGGCGGCTCAGATTTCCCAGTTGGCTATGCTTCATGCCACGACAGATATCAAATTATGGGTACTCTTGGAATTACCCAACTGTGCTCCGCTTTCCTTAACTACATTGCTTTGGCTCCCACCTAAGTTGCGCCCTCCGGATTTGAGCCCTATCATGCTTCACAGTTTACAAACCTGGGATTCTGTTAAATATTCGGATAATTTGATATCGTTTCTACCTCTTTTGCCGATTACGCATAATCCTTTATTTCCACCAGGCCTAGAAGATCCCCCTTCTTTCTCTTGGTGGACCTCCCAATGCTTTGTTATTGTACATGGTTTTCTGAGCACTCATACGTTTCCATCATGGGAGTCTCTTCGAGGATCAAGGGGGGTCCCACCACGGGAATATTATTGGTATTTGCAATTGCGCCACTGGGTCCTATCCCTCCGTCGTACCTCTACATATCCTTACCGCAAAACGCCCTTTGAACACGTCTGTCAGCATTCCCCAGGTCTCATTTCTGTAATTTATGCCTCTCAACAGTGGGTTCTCCTCACCACCCCTATCTTATGTCTCTCAATGGGAGCGAGATCTGGGTTTCTCGATTGCAGCGGAGGATTGGCATAGGGCTTGGTGGCGAAATGTTCATTCAATACAGTCACTCTTGAGGCAGCCTACAAAGTTCTCCTGCGGTGGTACTGGGTCCCGGCTTGGACTGCTCACTTTAATCCAACTGGAGGAGATAGGTGTTTCCGGAACTGTGGTCTACGTGGGTACGTCTTGCACATTTGGTGGTCGTGCCCGCGATTGATAGGCTTCTGGTCTAGGGTTTTTGGTTTGCTGCAAACACTATTTCATATTACGGTCCGTAGGGATGCAAGGGTAGCCCTCCTGCATTGCCCAGTTTTGGGTCTGTCTAGGTCTCAGCAGAAATTAGCATCCTACCTATTTAGTTCGGCCAAACGTGCTATAGCTCAAGCTTGGAGAACCCCTTCGGTTGTCTTCCAGGGGGAGAAGACCCGGATGAATGCTATGTTGATCAGTGAACAGATGTCTAGCGTTCTTCATGATTCTCATCCGAAATTCCTTAAGGTTTGGGAACCTTGGGTACGTTATTCCCTGCCCTGCCTCCGACTAGTTATGAGCTCTTATAGTCGTTGCCTGTGCTAGCCCTGGATCCGTGATTTTTCTAGTTTTCCTTTCTTCCATGTTTTCTTTCTGATTCTTTTTTTTTTTTTTTTTTTTTTTTCCTTCCTTCTAACTTTTTTCTTTCTTTCCTCTTCTTTTCCGGTAATATGATGGATTGCTGCTGCTATTATTTGGTTCGGCTTTTTGCCGTCCCTCCTTGATTTCATTGGATCTCATAATACAAGTCAGCAGGATGTATCTGTTTATGTGGTATTGTTCTGCTCTGCCCCTGCGTGGGCGTATCTTGAGCATGTATTCTTAAAACAAAACTTTCTCAAAAATATTGAAACAGAATACGAACGTGTAGACACCAGTGGTACCCTGACAGATAGCTCAGACGATGGAGAAGAGGTCCCTGCTAAGATCAGGCATACCTGGACCCTGTTCCCAGGTTGCTGAGATGTTACAATCGCATGATGACTCTCATATGCAGCAGAGTGCCAATACTAGTGCCGCTCTACATTCTGGTGAACTGGCGAGCACCAGCAGCCTAGTACATCCTGGTCTTTCACATACCAGCCCTGCAGTATCACTTGGTGACATGGTGAATCCTATAAGTTTAATACAAGCTGGTGCGGTGGCAAGCACAAATAGTGTGTCCCACAGCCACCAAGAATTCGCACACAGGCCCATAGAGCCGCTAGTATTCTTCCAGATGTGCTTGCAAATCCCGAATGGCAGCCCACAATTCTGCAGCACCTGTACGTCCCCCATTCACTGCCCAACCCGGAATTCAGGTGGAAACAGCAAATTTAACTACTCTCCTTGATTTTTTGGAGCTTTTTTTCATGGAAGATCTGTATGCATTGATTGTGGATCAAAGCAATTTATATGCGCAACAGTTTATCGCCGCCAACCCAAATTCAAACCTTGCCAGACTATTCACATGGAAACCCATTACAGTTTCCGAATTGAAAGTTTTTTGGGGCCTAACCCTCAACATGGGCATTATTAAAAAAAATGAATTGCGGTTGTATTGGTCCACAGACCCAATTCATCATATGCCCGTGTTCTCTGCTGCCATGGCCAGGCATAGATATAAGAGGATAATGCGTTTTATGCATTTCAATGACAACACACTCTGTCGTCCTTGGGGTGACCTGAATTTGACCAGCTCCACAAAATTCAGCCCCTCATAAATCACTTTAACCAAAAATTTGCAGATGTCTATCCCCAACA